TCCTGATGTCAGCAGAAAGGTTTTGACTATTGACTATTCTGAGTCTAACTGCATGCAGAGCTACAGCTTCAGGCTTGAATAAAAGTAAGATTTTGCTATATTTATGGGGGCATGAGGGGCCCAGGGGGGCTAGATGGTGGTTTTAACACTATAGGGTCAGGAATACGGGTTTGTGTTCCTGACCATATAGTGTTCCTTTAATATGCAAATAGATAAAGTGAAAGCATAAAAAGTGACAAAAAGTGTGAAATTAAAATAAAGGGAACCAATTAGCCCAAAAAGTAAGAGTTAAAGTATTTTAGCCAAACTCCAAGTGCTCATATTGGTCTTGTAAAGTACTGTCTAGTTAGTATTTATCTATTTTAGTAACCGGTTTTCAGAAAGTGTATATATCTCTCTCACGCTAGGAGGCCTCCTCAAGAAATGGCTATAAAATAGTCCTCTCGCTATGAATCTAATATAGTGGATTTGGACTTAAATTTAGCACTGTATAAGATATTTAGAAGTACACAGAATAAATAGATAAGATATGTGGCAACTGGTTGCATTCTAAACAAATTGCAACAATTAGGCACAAGTTCACAATAATTGGAGAACTAGCAGTCAGATATTTGTAAGTTGATAAGACTTAGAGTTAACAATTATAAGATATTTAGAGATGGTCAGATAACTATGACTATTTTATCAATAAATAATTGTGAGAGCACACACAAGACTAATACAAATACAGTCTGCAAATAAATAATTAGACCTGTGAATTGAAAGAGAATAAAAGAGATTATTGGGTAATATAGCATGAACACGAATATTTATTGACACACACAAAGGTTCCACTCACATGGTTCTGAGACACTCAGATGGCTCAGAAAAAAAATATGTGGGCAGAACAACACACGAACTACTCGTAAGAATACGAGAACACTTCAATAACATACGAAAAAGGAAGATTGACCATAGTGTCCCCAGACACCGTAACACGTGTCCACTATTTCAGTAGCACAATTTTGCAGCCATAGTAATAGATCAGATGCCAATAAATTGGAGAGGAGGTAATAGGTCTTTAGGGTTTGCTAAAAGAAGAAGCCCAATGGGTTTTTAATTTAAAACCCCTCAGGTTAGGACTTAATAAAGATATGGATTTGGCCGGATTGATTTAATTATTGATTGTTTTTTCTATCTAATTTTGTATATCAACTTGGATTATTGTATCACTACATATGGATGGATTGTCAATGGATTTTTTTTGTAATTTTTTCTGTATGTTGTAGTATCATATGAGTCCATCCTCATGTATTACAAAAAAAATTATATATATATATATTTATATTTTTTACATATTTTATTTATATTTTATATTTTTCTTATCTTTATTCTGATTTTATTTATTTCGTTTTTTTATTTTTATATTTTTTATATTTTCCCCCTTTATTTAGATTCATTTGTCCATTTATAATCCATTCATAGTATATATGTTTCACAACGAATGAATCAGAAATTGCTGCTTTCATCCTTCTTTGTTTAAAATATAGTCTCTTATATATATTAATGATACCATTCTCGATACCCACACACTGTTCTTTAAGGTTTTAATTCCACGGTGGAACGCACGCTAACGCCAGCTGATCGAAAGGTCTGAAATTTAGAATCATATTTAAATGAAGACATCAGAGCAAGGTCCCAGATCCCTGAGGGAGTCCACAAACCGGGCGAAATTATTTTTTGGGACTTTCAGTTTGGTTTTATTGTTCCCTCTGTACTCTTGTCTCTTCTGCTGCTGGACTGCTATTTAATGTTCCATCTACCTTCCATAACAACTGTTCCAGGTCCACTTAAAGTGGAGACAAAGTGCAAGATAGGAGAGTTAAAGAGAGGGTGGTAAAACCAGTCCGCTTCAAAAGACTCCTTAAAGTGGAGCGCTAAAAACTACTTACCCCTACAGCCCAGGGGTATTGAGTATCTCAAATGGAGGTTACATACAAAATAAAAATAAGAGAAAAAAATAATAGTGCAATATGTCACAGACCAGTGAATGAATCTTAAATATAGAAGACTAACTCACAAGTGTAGAGCCAGGTTAAGGACTGGCTCATATCTCAAGCGTCCTGGTGTACAAAGGGAGACACCTTCCCTCTTTCTGTTGTCTTCTTTTCAACACTCAAAAAAAGAACACAGAGGAGTGTAGTATATTAAATCCAAGATGTAAATAGAATCGATATAAAGTGGTATATTGCTCACCTTTTAAAGAGCCAATAGTAGGAACCTGGCTCAAGTTGAAATAGCTTCTTACCCACTAGAGGAGGGTAAAACCTTCTTATGGATTAGTAGCAGCAAGGTGAAGATAGCAGCAGATGGACTAATGTTGATCAAACGATCAAGTTTATTAAAAGTAATACGTATATAAAAACTACACATAAAATAAACAAAAAAATAAAATCAGTGTCCATACAACGCTGGAAGAATCCTCAGAGACGCGTTTCGCCCTTTCTCAATTGAAGATGATCCTTTCTCTTCACTTCCTGCTTTTTAAATCCGGTGCCTATCGTCTGGTTGGCTTGGATTGACTGTTCGTTAGCCAATAAACTTCGTCCTTGTGGGCGTTCTCTCCTCCAGTGTTGTTGCCGTGTAATTTGGAACCTGGAAGTGACATTTACATCAATCCGTCGCTTCCAGTACGGGCGTCGCCATCTTGTGTATTGGCAATCGCCCTCACAGTTCGGTTCTCACTTCAAAGTCCATTAGTCTGGTAAAACTCATGGGTAATGGCAAGAGAATAATTAAGAATAGTTAATAAAGACATACATCCATAAATTAAATATAAATCTGAATGTAAATAAGGCAAAATAAAGAAATACCCATATTACGATAAAAAGATACCCATAATACAGTACAGACTCATGTATATGAGAGAATACTTCTATGAAATGTCCTAAAAATAGAAATGATAAATTAAAAGACCCTAAATATTGGATTTATCAATACCAGCCATATCGAAAAAAAAAAAAAAGGGGAGGGGGGATAAAAAGCGGATATAAGACCTATAAAAAATGGCATAACTCAAAATCACTATTGAGTCCATGGAGGAGGAGGGAGTTACAGTTAAAAATCCATCTCATCTCAACTCTTCCCATCGCAGTGATGAGATCCTCCCCCCTCCTGTTGCTTTCTACTTTCTGCACCCCCATAAACATAAGTTGAGTTGGATCCTTGTTATGCTTCATTTTAAATTTTTTGGAGAGGCTGTGTTTCTCAAAACCTATTTGAATGTTTCGTACATGTTCTTGGATTCTTATATGAAGTGATCTAGTGGTCCTCCCTATATAGAGTAGGCCACATGTACATTGTATTATATAAATCACCCGTTTAGAGTGACATGTAATTAATTGTTTTATAGGGATTTTTTTTTCCTTATCTTTAGGGTGTATAAAATAATCCATGTATCTTTTTTTATTCTTCGTATTGGTACATGCCCCATAGTTTCCACAGCCATAAAATCCTCCTTTTTCTTTAAAAGGCTTCCTTGCTATTTCTTTCTTAGGAAGATGGCTATGAATTAGTTTACTTTTTAAATTCGGGACTCCTCGATATATTACTTTTGTTTTTTCTGGAAGTATAGAGTTTAGAACCTCATCCCCTTTCAATATAGGCCAATATTTTTTTATAATCATTTGTACATTATTATATTTACAATTAAAATCGCAAATAAACAAAAACTTATTGTCATATCTATAGCTCTTAAATTTATTTCCAATTAAAAGATCCTCCCTATTAGTTAAAAAAGTTTCTTCTATTGCCTTGTTAAGGAGTTCTTCTTCGTACCCCTTCTCTCTCAAATCATTTAAAATCTTCCTGGATTGTTGTCTAAAATCATCTTCCGTGCAATTACGCTTTATCCTTAAAAGCTGGGACTTGGGTACATTCTTAAGCCAGTGGGAGAAGTGGCAACTTTTCTCTTCCACGTAACTATTCACGTCCACTGGCTTAAAGTATGTAATTGTTTTAACTCTATCTTTATCTACATAAATATTTAAATCCCCAAAAATTCACTTCTTGTTTACTAAAGTCGCTTGTCAATTGAATGCCCCAGTCATTAGCGTTCAAAAATTCAAGAAAGTCTTTTAGTGAGGCTTCGCTTCCGCTCCATATAAAGAAAATATCATCAATGTAGCGGCCATAGAGCATCAGATTCGCAGTCCGATCACGTCCACCATAAATAAAATTGTGTTCCCATAGTGACATGAACAGATTGGCATAGCTCAGTGCGAATCTGGTGCCCATTGCCCTGCCAAATGTCTGGAGATAGAAGTTATCCTCAAACCAGAAATAGTTGTGACTTAAAATCCATTGAATGGCTTCCAAAATAAAATCAATCTGAATTTGAGGGAAGGCTTAAAAAAATTCTAAAAAATACCTTGTGGATTGGCATCTCTTCTCATGTGAAATAATAGTGTAGAGGAATCCCACATGTGAGGTAACTAAAAACAGTTCTCGTCCCACGTCTGATCTTTTAAAATTGTCAGAAGGCTAAGAGAATCATCCACATACGTCATCTTCATTGGACGGGGCACACCCATTTGTGATCATTTGAGTTCTAGCGTCTGTTCACTCTTCTGCATTCGTCATCCCCACTGGTTGGGACACACTCGTATTTTGCTCATCCTTACGCCCCAATTTGATGCGGGAATATCGGGCGGACACGTGATTTGGCATTCAGGCCAGCCCCCCTCACATCTTGCCAAGGTATTTCAAAAGGCATATTTTGAACCTTAGCGTGGGATAATTTTTCCGCTAGCTTGTACCAAGTGTAGAGGTAATAAGCGTTTTTCTGCCTTTTTGACTCACAAAGTAAGTTTGCACAGTATATTTTGCAAATCGTATGTGTGCTACGACTGTTTAATACTTC